AGGACATGAAAACAAAATTGTTCCCAGGGCTATGCACTATTCCAAACAAAGAATTTCAATAGTCTTTCAAAAATGGAAGAACTGCTAGGACTGATGTAATATTAGGAGTGGAAGGGATAACTTTAAATATGACAAGATCTAATAACACCTGAATGTTGCTGTTTCTTTTATGTATTAAAATAGTCTAAAAGCTTTTTGGATACACTATAATAAATCACGAAGTTAAAATTATATGAATCTTCACAATAATGTTAATTGATGAATCAAGGCTAAATTTTGTAAAAGTTGTGATCAATTCTGACAGTCTTTCCTTGAAATTTCCATTTCTCTTACAACAACAACAACAACAAAAAAATTTTTTTATCATAAATTTTCCTTTAAGATAAGAATTTATGTCAGCCAAGAGAGCTGTAGTAAATACTTAAATATTTTAACATTTTAAACATGAAATTATAAGGAAACAACAAGATAATTTCTGAACTGATGAATGCGCAACCAGCGTTTTTCAGAGATTTGATATATTTTTCTGATTTAAACAAAGAATACTATATTTTAGGTGCAAAAAACTATTATTATTATTATATAAAATAAATTTGAAGAATATTTTTCTAGAAAAGTATTATATTTAACATATAATATCGTAAATTTGTTTTTACTTGAAGCAAATGGAAAATGAATTAATGAAGTAACAATATGATTTAAAATTAACAAGGTGCTTTTCTTTAATTGGAAATGACTGTGTTTTATGATTATTTTGCTTTGGGAGAAAATAAATACAGTGGAACCTCGGTATACGACCTTAATCCGTTCCTGGTGTTTGGACTTATACCGAATAGGACGTATACCAAACCAACCTTTTCCATAAGAAGTAATGTAAAAATGATTAATCCGTTCTCGTGTAAAAAAATGGCTGGCTTTAAACACCTCGCTTTCCTGGCTAGTTCTTGCTTGATTTTTCGTGAGACCAGCGTGTATCTTTTTAGCTTTCTCGCAAATAATTGCTTTCGATACGCTGTCTCCAGCACTGTTTTTAAGTTATCCAAAGCAAAAGCAATTTCTCGACATGATCTAATGTCTTCGATCTCTGTTTAGAAATTAATTTAATCCCTTTCTCAACGTTAGCACATTTAATAATGTCTTTATTTTTCACGATTGTCGATATCGTCGTTCTCGGAATACGGAATGCAACAGTTAAATCTTGTTAAATCTCGAACACGTGTGCCACCTTCATATTTCTCAACAATCTTGTTTTTCAGTTCCGTTGTGATTCTAGTCATTTTTTATTTTTCTGTTGCCCTTTTGCAATTCATGATTAATAAAAATAATAAACTGTTACTTACAAATTAAAAATCAGAAAAAATTTAACAAAGTTATAAACCGTAGCACCGCGAACGTCTAGTCTAGTGTAGTACACCGATAGTGCTACTTGTTCATACATGGCGCGTATAATTGAATTAAGTCGTATACCGAACAAAAGTCGTATACCGAGCAAAATTTGTTCCATCCAAACAGGACGTATTCCGAATTGGACGTATTCTAAAGCAGACGTATACCGAGGTTCCACTGTAAATAAATTTGCAGCAGTTCTAATAAAAATATCTCAAAATAAGGAATATGTACTGTACAATATTCACATCAACAAACACAAAATTCGTTTATGAACAGAATTTATAAAACATAATCATTGTTTAATCTAGATTGTATTTATCTGCAAAATTTTCTTCAATCTATAGTTGTTCGAAACTTAATTTGTTAATCTATATTCCTTTTTAACAAATGCCATTTTTTAAAAATAAATCAGTAACAAGTTGCTCAACTTCCCTGGCAACATTTAAAATTTTTGGTGGTGCCATCTGTTATAAAAAGTTTTTAAATAAAACACATTTTTTAACTATTATAAAATGGCAAAAAAAAAAAAGCTTAATTTTGAGGGTAGGGATGACTTTTATAAAAAAAAACAATTGTAAATGCCAATAACCAGTAAAAATTGTCATTAATCCAACACTGATTATCTCCCAACCCCCTCGACCTTTAACTACCAAATTTAATAGCAACGATCCCTCCAATAAACAAACCTCCCCGAAAACTTAAAATTTCCCACAAAAAGCACAGGAGTTAAGCTTCAAAGAGGTGAACGAAGTCATTCCTCCACATATACTAACATCCATACATACAGAAATCGCCCCCAAATTATTTTGCATTTCTCGACATTTCAAGGTGTCCCAAGTCCAAAAATAAAAAATCTGGAGGGGTCAATTTTTGCCGGATCGCCATACTTTCCCTCCGTCATAACAGTCAGGAAAAGTAAAAGTGAAATATATCTAATAAGAAGTAACGTTTTTTTTTATTTCTGCATATACTATTATTATTATTCAGCTAAGTGTTTATTGATTTTACTTGAACTTCAGACTTTCTGGATTGCAACAAATTAAATTTTTCTAATACAAATTCCAATTAAAATTAATTAGTCGTTTCTGTTCTATTTTTAATAAAATAACATCTACTTTAACAAGTTTTATCTTACTGCAATAAAACTTGTAATAAAAGAATTAATTAAATAAAAAAATAATTCTGTTTGTTTTCAAAGAGATAGGCATCTTTATTCGAAAATTATGTTGTTTCGATACATTAAAGAGTAGTTTCACGTTTCGTGTTTCGTCTACAACAATTATTGCTAGGTTTTGTTTTTTGCTACACTTTTCCTGGATGGCCAACTATGCCAAATACTCAAATAACTTAAAGTTGCATAAATATTTGGCAAATCTTCAACAATTTAATAAAATTAATCTCTATTATCTTCTCTATTTTTAAATTTTAATAGTTTAAACGTAATCAATTAATTTATCATACGTCGATTAGCCGACGCGAATAAAAGTTATATATCCATTTTTTAAAGCAAAGTATTATTTTGAAATCAAAATAAAAAAATTAAACTTACAGAGTTAAACTTTATCAGAAATTTTGAGACTGATGTACTTTCAGAGTTTATTATAAAACTTACATGCACGCATTATTTCTAAAAAGCTGGCACGAATAATGGCAAATTTCCAATAAGCTATATTTATATTTTTAAAATTTGGGTCAATCATATATATATATATATATATATANATTATATCTTTATTATATTATTAATTTCACTAAATATTGTTTATTACACTTAGGTAGTTTTTCTATTTATGATATATTCCGGATACGTAATGATTATTATTATTTTGTAATACAAATTAACAAAATGCTGTAGTTACTGAATTGATGAAAACTTTATTCATTTTAACTGTTTATTTATAATAATTGAATAAAGCGATGAACTATGCCCTCTGTTGGATATTCAGCCTTATCTGTGAACAGGATAATTCATTATGAGGAACAGAGATAATTTATCAAAGTAGCTGTAGTAATACGATATCAATGCATTTATAAACAACAAAAAGAAGAAAAGAGAAGGAGAGAGATCCCTTTTTTTCCCTTTATCTAAAGATTTTTATTGCAAAGAACTATATAGTTTTATTAATGAATTCATATCTGTATAAAAATTTATTCTGTATCGAATATAATTTATTTATTTCAATACTGATAAATATTTAAAAAATTTTTTTATTTAAAACTAGTTAATCAAGTGGAATAAACAAAATAAGCAGTTCTACTAGTTATAGTGAAATTATATTTTAAACAAGCATTTATATGGTAATTTATAAGCTTTAATAGTAATAAAATGGTGTCTCATATTTCAAATTTAATTCAAACTCTGAATCACTTGAAATCAGAAGTAATTTTTCCCATTAGAAATAATGAAAAGTCAATTAATCCATTCCCAGATCCTAAACAATAAACATAATTTAAAGTTTATTGAAATGGGTATTTGCTGTTTTAAGTAAGAATAACAGAATCAAATTCCCTAACAATAAATAAAATATGTAAATACTGTGTAATAAAATGAAAATTGCATTAATTAGTTGCATACTGTGAACTTCGGCACCTTAAACGTCGCCACCAGATCTACTGTGCATATGTCACTTTCGTGTTTATAAGTTCCTTTTTCATTTCAATCGTTGATATTACAACCTTCCTCTTAAGCTTCGTTGCTTCTACGCACTTCTCGAATGCTATGGTTAATAAGTAATAGTTATACTGTGTTCAACAGAAAGTTTTTGCGCATTATTAACAGCTGTCATTACTTAACATTGAACGTTATAATTAAATCACATATATATTATAACAAACACTCTCACATTATTTCTATTCTCAGATTGTTTTATTTTTTGTTTAAAAGATTATTTAAACTTATTTCTTCACATTTTGCTTGAACAACATCAAATTGAAATTTCTTCAGATAAAATGCCTATTGGGCACATGCTTTGAAGTTTTGGAAAGGATATAATAGCGCACAGACAATAAAAGCAATTCGTAATGTGTATGGGAAAGATGCTACTAAACTTCGAACATTCAAAAAATACTGTTCAAGAAATTTCGAACCGAAGGATAAAAAAAGTATGGGATGTCTAAAGGCTGTCAATGAAGAAAAATTACAGTAAGAAATCATAAAAAAATCGATGAGTAACAAAAAATTACACACAATATATAACCAAACACACCAAAAATAAAGCAATAAAAGTACAAAAGGCATATAAGTGAAACAACTTGGATGCACAATAGATTATGTTTACACTTTTTTCAGCGCATTTTTCATTGTGTGCACAGTTTGAACTTCAAAGAATCGTTCAAACTCCAAGGCAAATTTTTGTCAAATTTAGTTTTCAAACTCTGAAGCATTGAAGTTAGAGTCATTCAAAGTATGAGGTACCACTATACTAATAAACTAAATATATATTCTGTTCTGTATTGACTTTTTTGAAATGAGTTCAGCATTTTACACCTATCTCCCAATACATAGATATACATACTTATATTTGATTTTTACAAAGTTGTTTACTAGTTTGAAATAAAGTAAAAAGAAATAAAAATAACATAATTGAAGGAACCAAAATAAAATGTATTACCTTTTCATGTATCTCTTGGGTGGACTGGGCATCACAGAAGGCCACTGTAGCCACATCCTTCAAAATTGGCATCTCCACTGAACAATCCCTACCATCAAGTAGTGCCACTAAGGGACGGGTGTGCATGGGGCCATTTGTAATAGGGCCACGGGCACCAACTGCAAAACAATCCAAAATACCAAGTGGAAAAACAGACAAATAATTAACATTTTATATTCCTTGCTTAAAAGATAATTTTAATGCTTAAAATTTAAAATGAGTGATTTATACATTTTTATTGATCAATATCTCAACAAATATATAGTATAAAATTTCTTTTTATGATGAAAATTCATTGAAAAACAATCCCAAACACCTTAATCTAAATATTATCTAGTAAACTATAAAAATTTTTATATTTAAATGTATCAATATAATCCTTATTACAATACATAATTTGTAAAAATTAAAATAAAATCAATAATGAACTAAAATTACTTATTAAAAATTTAGAATAAAGATATTAATACTTTCTATTAAAAAATATGATAAAAATTTATCATAATCAAGTAACAGTTATACAATCACTGACAAAAAGTACTGCACATAGAATTGTCTGTCAACTGTTACATCTTGGATGAGTGTATAAATGATTGTACATTAGATAATGCTACAAAGTGCCTTAAAATTGCTACCCCCAGTAGCCTATAAAAAGGCTTGCATAAGCTCATTTTGTTCAGAATTTTCAGGTGGAGTTTAAGAAAGCAGATGTCTGGCAGAATGGCCAGACATCTGGGCCATTCTAATCTTATTATGAAGTGATATTGGGGAAGTGAATAAATCAGAGCACACACATAGGGCAAGCAGTCTCTGGACATCCCAGACAGATCAGGAAAGATGATTGCCTAATCAAAAGACAAGCATGACTGCTATAACAGTGTCTGCCCGCCATCCAAAGACAGGTGCAAGGCCATTACAGAACCTCTATCTTTCCACACCATTGAGAAGCAACTAAAATTTGCATGCAAGACAACTGCTATACATCCTGGCATTAACACCCTAATGTTATCAGCTTCATCTCAATTGTGTCATGACAGAGAAGCATAGATTAAGAGTGTGTTGTCTTCAGTAACGAATTCCAGTTCTGTTTGGGAACAGACAACCACTATGTTATAACATGGAAGACCACAGGTAAGCACTTCAATTCCACTTTTACTGAGCAGCAGCTTAATGCCCTCACTGATTTTGTGCTGGTCTGAGGAGCCATTCTGTATGACAGTCAGATATCAATGACAAAGTGTTACAGTCAAGTAATCCTGATGATAATATGTTGTTTTTCATGGAAGATCTATAAGCATGATTTTCTAGCAAGATAATGCTATACCACACAAAGCTAGGGTTTTCCAGAAATGCGTCTGTTGTGTTGCCACACTTTTTTTGGTTTGCCTGGTATCCAGATCTGTTCTCTATTGAGCATTTGTGGAATCAAATAGGAAGTCAGCTTTGACCATCTGTATATATGAAATATCTGGAATAGCAGTTGCAATATCCGTGAGCAAATCTCTCACAGGATAGCATAGTGTCTATATGACTCCATGAACCACATGTATCTAGACAAGACAAGGACATATAAGGTACTAAAAGTTTCTTTAAACTAGGGGTCCCCCAAACTGTTTTAACTGTCAACCCCTTCAGTGGTCATTGAGCTTTTATCGACCATCATGTTTTATTTTTTTGCTAATACAGTTAATAAAAATAAATAAATCTAGTGAGCCAATATTAATTCACACGCTGTTTTCATAGAGATCTATATATCATTTCATTTATTTTGGCCAGGCAATGCACAGTACTCGGCTGAGGTGCTGGGAGTTTTATAAAGTTCAAGTGTCCCTTTTTGATAACGCACAGTGACATAGTCACATTTCTGACAATATGTTTCCTTCACTAAGTACATGGAGTGGTCTCTATCACTACATTTTTAAAGCAAAGTCAAAATTTGTGAAAATTTATAACACCTTGAACCTGTCATATACATAACCCACTGGATTAACAATTCTTAATGAACCATTTAAACTGATCCGCAACTAATTTGACCCAAGGGATCAATATCAACCATTACCTGCTGGACCCATGCTTTAAATTTTATCATTGTCCCACTGAAAGCTGTCCCTTTACTTTGATAATATAACTTTCAATCAAAAATTCTTTATAGACAAGGTTTGCCAAAGTTTTCTATTAATGGGTTGAAATTATAGTTCAATGATCAGAAAATAAGTAAATTAAATATTTCTGAAAACTTTTCNTTCCATTATCTTGTCAAACATTATATCACAATTTTGGTTCGTACCAATAAATCAGTCCCCACTGTTTATAAAGCTATAAATAACTCTAGCACATGTATAGAACGTCATAAGAGGACTTGATCCCAGATTACAACAATTACATCTCGCATTCCACATCTGCACATTCATATATCACTAGATTTGACGGATTTTATTGGCAGAATCCTGGGGTTCCGCAGAACTCCCGTTGGAACCCCTGCTCTAGACTAAACAGCAAACTAAATCATTCTTGAGTTGAGTTATAATAGGGACATTGATGTAGTTCATGAGCATTTTCAGCTGAATTTGAATCAAAACTTTGCTCATTGTTCATAACATGCTATGAACAATGAATCAAAAAGGTGATTCAGGTCTATATTATTAATGTAAATCTAGCTGATCACTCCAAAGAATGCAAAATTCACAATTTGTATGAGGGCTACTTAAATGACCAGAAATGTTTATTTTAACCAGTATGTGCTGAAAAGAAGCAAAAGGTATGCATTTGTTAACTGTTTTCTCTTTTCAGAAAACATTATTATTAATAAGACATTCAAGTCTATTTTAATAGTTTGAATTTGAGAATACAGTATACACAGTCTATGATTTCTACTGAACCAGTGTAAAAATTAAATCAAAAGGACATAATTGTTGGAGATTATGTTAGAGGAGATAGAGCTTAAAGGAAAATAAACTTAATATATCATAAGCATTGCTGGTACAGATTACAGAAGGCCTCTGAAAATAGATGTAAAGGCCATAAGTTCTGCTATCACAATGCATTGGATGCCCAGAACATCCTTGAAATGAGTTTATTTCAGAGCCATCTTCAGCAGGGGAAGAGCACGAAATCAGCAGGAGCCAGATCCAGAGAATAAGGAGGGCATTGAAGCTGAATCATCATGTTTTATCAGAAATGATGTCACAAGCAACAATGAATGTACAAGGGTGTTATCACAGAAGATGACACAATCCAAACTGATGAAACACAGAAAAATCTTTTTAATTGCTGCATGACCTATTTGTAGTATACGGCACTGACAACTGTAACACCCTATGGTACTAATTCCTTGTGTATAATGCCCTGCACTGTCAAAAAATGTAATTAACATTACTTTCACTTTGGATGTCTGGAGACAAATTTTCTTCTTCCTTGTGGTGCGGTTGCTTCTTAAGTCATCCCAAAAAATTTTTTGAAAAACAACAATATGTTCAAGTGGCTGAGGAAATGGTTTCTCAAGGTGAATAGTTCCTAAAGTGCATCATTATGGGTGACAAAACATGGATCTACGCTTTTGACATTGAAAGAAGACCACAGTCAAGTGAATGGAACTTGATAAGTAAAGCAAGACCAAAAAAGACCACATTAAAGTCAAGTCAAAAATCGAGATTTTGTTGACCGTTTTCTTATATTGCAAAGGCAATGTACATCGCAAATTCCTTCCAAATGGTCAACCCGCCAACAAAGATTATTATTAGAGTGTTTTGCATCGTCCGTGTGAAGCAATTCGTAGAAAACAACCTGATTTGTGGCAAGAAAACTCATGGATTTTATTTATATGATAACGCATCTGCTCATCTGCTCTTGTTGTTTGTGAATTTTTGGCCAAAAATTCAACAAATACGGTTCCACAAGCTCCATATTCACCCATTCTGATACTGTGTGATTTTTTCCTGTTTACTCAACTTAAATAATTGTAAAAGGGATATTTGTACAGTTTTGCATGCAAAGATATGGATAAAATTGTGTCCAGGGACAGAAAAAAAAAAAAACCATTAAAACTTTCACTGTCCAATAAGGTGGAATATTTGATAACCTGGCACTGCATCAGTCCTGATAATGCTGGGTTAAAAGAATGTGACTTGTCTGTCCACTATATTTGAGCAATGTGTAAAGGCCCTTCATATTAATGCATTGAAGTAGTATTTGTCTTGAGACAATGCCAAATGAAGACTTGTTATAACTGGTGGAGATATTCAAGGCTTATCAAATTGTAACGGAGCCAACAAAATCTAGATCAGCAGTTGTCCGTGTAGTCTACGAGAAAATTTTGATGGTCCATGGAGAAATTTGGACATTGACTGACTCAAGGTTATGCAAAGTATTACAAAAGAAATGCAAAATCCTTGGTTGCTTTTTATCACTCATTGGGTTTTTTTTTAATTCAAATCTAAAACCAAACACGAAATTACTGTTTATTGATTTATTGACATTATTTATTGATAACAATCAACAATAAATAATTCTGTGAGTGCAATTGTTGTCCTTGTGGAAGAGAGCCAAGAATCCATGAACATATTTCAATCAAGTAGCAACAAACTTCGCACTAATTTTTTATAATTAAAAAAGTGAATTTCATATTAATAAGCCAAAATAAAGTAAAATAGAACTTTTATGATAATTATTCTATAGATGTTTGTATCGTTTAAAACAATTTACGATAGTGGTCAGTAGGATTCCAAATTGTGAGTTTTAATGGTCCACGAGGTCATAAAGGTTAGCGACCGTCAATCTAGATCGCATCGAAAAACAGTCTAATTTTATTTGTGGGATGCATTTTGATCTTCACTAGACCATCTTCGGCCACCTGCAATATTTAACTTAAAGGTTACATAGGTATATAATGCTAACTGTTCATCCATCCATCTGGTTACAATTTCTTATATGAATCTACTGACAGTTCACGCAGACAATTCCTCACGTGGGTCTAACTTAAATCACATGATGACAATATTGATTTCCTGTTATCAATTATTGCACAATATTTATATCATTTATACTGATTACAGATTTTATGATATTGGACATCACTACTGATGACTGAGTTGATATTTAGTTAAAATCTAAAACCAAAATGCAAAAGATAAAATAAATCTGCAT